AAAAAAAAAATACAACTGCAGTGGGTGATTGTAACAGAGGTTTACGGATGATGCTGAACTCGCTTTTCCAATGTGTCACTTTCTGTTTCTACTCACCGTGTAATGCAATCGCTGGACCATACAGCTAATAGGCTCATAGCCCATCCCTTGGATACGTACGCCTACCTATTTATTCATCTAACAACCTTTTCGACAACGATTCTTGATACCAGTACTTTTCCATAGAATACATGGCCTACCTACTTAAGAAATAAAATTACAAATGTCCAAAAACCCACATTGTGTGATTTTTGTCACATTCAACTGACTACTATAAGATCCCCGTACGTAGAACGGGCACACAGCTAGTATATATATTTATTACTAGCAGAGAACCCGTCCTTCGTACGGGGTGTGCATATAAGTATAAAATTCTTATTGCAGTTATGATCAAGCTTTAGTTTTCAATGGGGAGGACACAATTTGATAAAATTTGCTTCTTTAAATTCACGGTACCCTATAGTATTACACATCTACCATAGTCATAAATGTTCTACCACTTCTCCGTAAACAATCCTACTTTGACAGTTATCATCGCGTATCACAGTTTTTTTATAGCTGCTTAGTTCAAATTAGCTGTTTTCATAAATGCAAAAAAAAAAAATTGTGCTGCACCCTGTTGGTAAATTTTATAACTTTTTAATGCTTTTACATATCATAGAACCAACTTTTTTATTTGAAACAGCTGACTAAAGTCTACCCTTTTAATATAATTACTCATAAGGTTAACATGGGGAACTACAGAGCCACTGGGGCGGTGCCCGAAAGGATTTTTGAGATAAGAATATGCCTATATGTTAATCGGGAATGTGAGCTATCATCATACCAAATTTCAGCCCAATCCGTTCAGTAGTTAATGCGTGATTGAACTTCAAACAAACAAACAAACACACAAACTTTCACATTTATAATATTAGTAAGATATTTATTAATATTCCCTATATGGGAAATTTGCTAAAATGACTTTCACTTTTATTTTTCTACATAATTAGGCCAGAAGAACTCTCTCGCTTAAAGGAAAAGCTCCTAAACGGAGAAGTCGCTGACCCAGAAATATCACTTCAAGACGGAATTATTGTTAGAGGAAATCGTGTTATCATTCCAAAAAAGCTACAACCTAAAATCCTCCAAGAATTACACTCAACACACGTAGGAATAGTGCGGATGAAGAGTCTGGCAAGAAACTACTGTTACTGGAAAAACATTGATACAGATATTGAGAGTATGGTGGCAAGTTGTAAGGCATGTTGTGAGAATAAGAAAAATCCAGAGAAGGCTCCTACCCATGTTTGGGAAATACCAAAACGCAATTGGCAGCGAGTCCACATGGATTACGCAGGACCTTTTCTGAATCACAACTTCTTGATTGTTGTAGATGCCAGGTCAAAGTGGCCAGAAATATATCCGATAAAAAGTGCGCCAACAACTGCCAGTACTATTCATTACCTCAGAGAAATATTCAGTCACCATGGCCTACCAGAAATATTGGTCAGTGACAATGCCACAATTTTTAAATCTGCAGAGTTTCAAGCATTCTGTAAACGCCAAGGAATAAGACAACGATTCATTGCACCAGGAAACCCCTCTACAAATGGTCAAGCGGAAAGATTTTGCCAAACACTCAAGACAAAACTGAGGTGCATGCAGTTTGAACCAGGCACTCTACATGAAAAACTATGTGCACTATTATTTTGCTACCGAGCTACACCACTAAGTACTGGTGCATCCCCAGCACAATTAATGTTTGGCAGGAACTTGAGAACCAAGCTAGATCTCTTAAGGCCTGGCGAAGCTGACAAAAATGAGGCTCAACAACCAATATTTAACAAACATTACAATATTGGGGAGAGAGTACAATCAAGAAATTACGCAGGATCCATTCTGTGGAAATTTGGAACTGTGGTTGAAAGACTGGGACGACTTCACTATCTCGTAGAAATTGATGATGGGTATGTAATAAAACGCCACTTCAATCAACTTCGAGCTTGTCAAGTGCCAAAAGATTCTACTCATTACAAAAGCCCTCTACCTAGCTCATTGACACAAACAAGGCAAGAAAGTTCAAACAACCGATGCGACCCAAAAGCCAAAGTACCACCAAAGCAAACTAATCGAACTTTAATATTCCAAAATACCAATCAAAATTGTTCAAGACAACCTATATTCATGGGAAATACAAGGTACGGTATGTTAAGTAAATTGAAATCAATAAGCAATTCAGAAAAGTCACAAGATACAGAAAATGTCTCAAGTAACACCCCAAGCTGGGAAGGAACTATAGACACTGAAACATCGAGTTCTACAGCAAGCACTATGCCTAATACTGAGGAAAAAACCCTATACATAACAATGAAGCGTCAAGTACAATCCATCGTACAAGCAGCCGACAAGAGGCCGAAGAGCCAAGTACAATCATACAACAAGACGCTGAAGTGTCCAATGCAAACTCACAACCAGATGTTCCTGTCCCTAAAATTCGCCGCTCATTGAGAATCAGAAAACCAATTAAAAGGATGAACTTGAAAGGATGTAAATAAACATTCTCTTAAATAAGTAGGGAGGAATTGTTATATATTCCAAATATCTATCTTTTATTTAATATTGATCACATGACTGGAATAATTTCATATTGTAAATAATTCAATGTTTACATTTATTATTAAGAAATAAACATGTATCAAGAGTTGTGTTCATATATTTTGTATTATTTTTATATCTAATACCTAGTATTATAGTTATGTCCAGAATTGGAGGGGTGATGTATTTTTTAGTAAACATAAGTAAAAAACGGGACGAAAATCACACAAATTGGAATTTTGATTCCGTTATTCTATTTACAAAATCAGAGAGGCTGGCTGAAACTTATAGTTGATGGCTAAAGACCCCCATTCCTGTGAATACAATTAATCAATTAGAATCATGATTGGTACCGGTACACTCTAGTTTTCTTGGAGTTGCAAAATATTTTGTTTTACTTTAATGCTAGTGGGTAAAAAATGTTTTTTTTCATTCGATTTCTAACACAGAATATAAGTTTTAGGCGTCCCAAAACGTGAGCAAGCAACATACAGCTGGCCATGTGAAAATCATTCATTTTCCAAATTAAAACCGGAGATAATGCCCTTAGTGCCTTATTAATTGTGATTGCGCAAGCAAAGCACCGAGGAAATTTTGTAGTCGCTTAAATTCAAAGGGTAATTCGGATTAAATTATCGGTATTCTTGGAATTAAGAAAATTTCACCTTTGAACTGATGATTGTTGCTTCGATCAAGTTTGGTGTAATTTTATCCATCAGTCTGGTTCCGTGCACAGCTTGGGTGGATTTAAGTTTCGCTGGTATAATTGGAGTTCCTTCTTTTAATGAAAATACGTGTGGCAGCTGTGGATATTGATCTATATTATACAAAAACTCTCCTGGCAATTTCAATAAAATTTGTTTCATTTTAAGGGCCGAAATTGCACGGTCGCAAAGCCACTCTGGATCTTTGAAATTTGTTGACAAGTCTGGGAATACTGTACATTTTCCCAGATTGAATATTTGGTTGTAGTTTACATAAGTATGAAAAACCAAAACTCTTTTGTGGTTTGGTCAATTTCAATTTTGCCATTCCCAATGTCCAAAGGCTGTTTAGTTTAGAGAATGTTTCTGCAACCGTTTCTTTCTTTGGGGGAAATGTACGCATGCTCGTTAAGAGTAACTTTTAAACGTAGTACCATAAGTAAGAGGCTTTTAGGCATGCGTGAACCTCGTTGGCAGGGATTCACAGTAAAAATAGGCCACTAAAGGTAGACCAACACCTTAAGTTTAGTCAACGATTGTTTAAATATAAAATAACGGCAATCGATCTTTGATCATGTAAACAACACTAAATTGTTGATTTAAAATTGAGTGAAAAAAACTAAATTGGTTAGCCTACTTAAATTGTCAGCACTTGACTTATGAAGTTTAAGTTTGGAAAATTACAAGGGCAGAAATAGATTTGATCATATCATTGTAACATATTATAGTGCACAAAAGCGAAAAATCCTTGTCACGAGCCATTTCGAAACTAATGTGGTTTCGTTTGTACAGTATGTTACAAATATTATCTGCTGTCGATGTTTACAAATAATTCTGAGTATCACTTAAACTTATGAGCAAAATCATAAAAGTGTGTCTTATTTTTCTTTAATTGCATACTTTACATTACAGAGTTCTTATTATTTCAGCGATCAAATTTCTATGGTTTGTAATAAAAATGTTTTTTTCATAAATTATAAAATACATCTAACATTCAAGTCTTTACTTGACATTTACGAGAATGTCTTTTATAATGTCGATTAGACCCAATTAACCACAACCGAGCAGGGCTATCGGTCCCCCGGTCGGTACCGTATTGTAATCAACGAGCACAATATGACATTTGAATTTGTTTTCGCTGATTGTAATGGTTTCAATTATCGAACACGTCTGTTATCGCAGGTGTAGGGCCTATACAGAATAGAAAGAAAAGGTTGTTTTCAAATTGCTAAAAGTTAAAACCAGTTACATTTTACCTCAATGCATTATGCAATCATTTCTAAAGAAATTAACTCAATAATTCCATTACGGATATGAGCCTACAGAATTATTAAAAACCACTACAGTATTATTCTACCATTAGCTTCTAAAAATTAGCAGGTATACTGATGAAAATTTATGGGAAAACAGTTTATAAATTTTTAACCATATCTTAATTATTTAAATAAGTAAAAAAAAAACGTTGCAAGGGCAACGGGTCACATCGAAATGATAACACAAATTATCTACTAACCCGCTGATTGTAAACAAATTTTTTTTTACATTTTTGGTTTTCGGTTATTGAGTTGAGTGAACGATAAACAATGTAATAGCTGATTACTTCCACCCAAGGTAAATTGTTTTTTGACCTAGCAGTGTTGTTAAAGTGAACACAGTTGAGTTTGTTGTCTATGTTATCAGGTAAATTTGGAGGGAGTACAGCCAGTACTGAAGCTGTCCTCAGCCCCCGTGGCAACATGTCACTGGGCCAATGCTAACCAGTGTGGGACTTGTGTTACGGCAGCACCTGATGGGCGTATCCGCATCTTTACACTCCTCACCCCATGATCTCCACATCAAGGATCTTCTACAGACACTTTAAATCATTTATGATAGGCCTATGATGACATTAAATACTGTATGTGATGGTCCACGTTCATAAGTGACTTCTAGTGCAAATTTATATTCATAATTTATGTGAGATAATTTTGTACACTTTTTCTGTAGATATTGAAGTGTTATCTTTAGTTTCAGTTATGGATTAACAATCACTCTCATTTTATTGGCAAAATTGAAACAAATTTAGAATACCAAAATATTTCCAAATTACCATAATCAAGGTATTGTCTGAGATATGTCAACACTTGGATTACTGCTGTTATACATATTATATTTTGAAAGGTGAATTTGTATATTATAGTGAATTTGTCCTATGAGAAAGACTATTTTGACATTGTTAACACTAACACTGTTAACAGTTTAACAAGGCTTTGTAGGGTAAAAAATCAAGATCTTAGCCACTTCAACTCCAGAAAGTGCTACAACTAGTGATGTTATTCTAAATGTAGTGATGTTACTGGTTAAATTCTTCCTTCCAAAATAACAACGTTTTGGTTAAATGTTTATTTTTTTAGACTAATTGTCGACGTACACAACATAGAATGTAAGTACAATCATAGATTGAATTTACCCCTTAAAATAGACTTGTCATCTTTATGGATCAGCCGAGGACAATTTTACAGAATGTTTCTGTCCCCTGTATGTATATAACCTTTACACCTACTAGTCTTATCTTGTCTCTTTATTATCTTTAACACTTTATTGAGTTTTGTCTAAAACTCAATGGTGTCTTGTAAACTATTGCTTATCCTGTGGTACTACAACCAAAGAGTAAAGTAGGTACATGAGATCACAGAACATTACTCTCACTTAAGAGAGAAACATTGTTGACATCAACACTGTCTAAGCTCACCGGACATAAAAAACAATATCAGATCTGACAATAACACACAGGTTGTTGTTTTGTTGATAAGTCTTTTGGCAGTATTCAAACGTATAGTACAGAATAATATTGCCAATTTAGTATTGTACACAAGCATAATTTTGGGTTTTTATAAATAATATTTAACCCTTACCGCGTTGTAGAGGAATATACTCGCCGAATTTCCCTTTGCTCAAAACGCAGAGAACTATGGACTACTATACTCGCATTTACAGAGTGCATTGGCTGGTCTTGGTAGTTCCCAGTTTTGCCGATAGAGTGCAGCAGCTATTGGGGAATATCTCTTGTGATGGAAAATCATAATAACAACGTTCCCCGCGTGATTGTTCAAAATGGCGGCACGCTACACTTGCCGGTCTCTGCTATGAGAGATGCAAGCGCTGTGGACGGACTAAACTCGCAAGTGTTAAGTTCACTCGCAGACTCTGCGGGGAACTTTGTTCTCCGCTGCGTTGGTTATTATATTGGTTTTATTGTTGTTGTATTATTATAATTATAAAAATAAATCAGCTTTGACTTATGGGAAAAATTCAATGGGTCAAGGCCATCCAACTTATCTAGTTATCTGTAGCGCTGTAATGGTTAAGCAACTAATTTCCTAAATTTAAATTTATTCCCTGTGAAATGTGAAAATTAGTGTTATTTAAGGCATGAAATTAATTGATCTATTATAAAGGTTGACCGATAAAAACCGTATGTTTTTAATCTATCTTCTATATAATTAATACGCCAACACAAAAATCGTCCGTTGAACTCCTCCGCCATTTCTCAACTGATTTTGACCATCCACGTCTCATTGGAAAGAGCGTGTCACGTAGATTTGCAAACTGACCTTAAGATTCTTTTTAAAAGTCCCTTGGGCTCTGCCCCAGTGGCTTTTAAAGTTCCCATGTTATCCTTATGAAGAACATATTTGTTTACATTATGAATGTCACCCCGATTGAGAGAGTCGATAATTATGTCTACATGGCCGCAATGGATGATCAGAATTTTGCCGCGATTGCAGAAGACAATGTTCATGTCCTCATGACTGCGAGAGATATTTAACATTTTACTGTGATGGCAGAAGACGATTATGATGTCTAAAAGGCCGTGGGATATGTTCATGCTTTTGCTGCAATCACAGAAGACAATAACGATGTTACAAAACCGCAGGAAATGATAAAAATTTAGGCCACGATCTTGTAATATGATGATAACGTTTCCTTGACCGAGGGAAAAGATTATGTTGATTCCATTACCACTGAGCGATATTCAGGATTTTGTCATGACCATGGAAGATTGTGGTGATGTTTTTGTCACACTGAGAAAGATATTCAGGATTTTGCAATGATCGCGGAAGACGATGATTATGCCTCTATGACAGCGGTAGATGATTACGAAATTACCTCGAGTTTGGCTTGTTCCAAAATTTCAGGATGGCACACCTCTAGTTATAATAAAGTTTTCTGTTGACATTTGTTGTAATATCTTCATTTATCTTTAATATAGTATTCATTCCATGTGTTTAGAAGGGTTTGAAACTTAAATTGGCTGGTTAAAAATTGTCATTACTGCATTAATTTTTTTTCTTTAGAATACTTGAAAAACAATCCATAACTCCAAAATTACATACTTGAGGGAAGTGCATAAAGGTAGGGGTTGGTGTAGTAATCCATACAGAAAATTTGGTAAAATTAAAAAAAATTGTATTGGTATCGAGAATTAATTTTTCAGTTACCGGTATGGAGAATCAAACTATTTTGGCATTGACAAATTTAATATATTGTTTAATGAGTTATTCATAAATTGCAGATAAGAGGAATTAGTTTTTAATTTTCTGTTTATAATATTTAATCACAGTAATATTCAAAAATTTCATACTTGTACCAGGCAATATAATTTTGTTCCTTTAACTGAAGTAGGCTAAGCTTTGTTCGATAACTAACATAGCGAACTGTGTTAGCGCTAAAACATAATTGCGGGAGTTGGCACGAAAACACGGTGGAAAGTTTGGTATAAAAAGTACGACCTGAACCACCTAAAAAGTTGGCCTGGTGGACACCCTGTAAACCTAGTTGGCTACACTTATCAGATGCTATTTACTTATAGAAAAAATGTCAGTCAGGTGGAGTCTACTTTTATTCTTGCAGCTTTCAATAATGTTCTTAAATTCCTCAAGATCCATCAAGGTTTGAGAATGAAAGTGTAGACGAGAGATTAGAGAACGCATAAAAGAAAATTCACACACGTTTAAATCTGATGACCTTGGGGCCACAGAAATCCCCTTCCTACAAACATAATACACGTTGTCCATTGAATCCTGAGCAGTGTGCACAATGAATCTTGTTGAAAATAAACATAGGTATTGTTAATCAAACGTTGCTGCCTCACCTATGAGTTGAAAAAATTGCATGAGCTGAGCATAAGTTTCAACATCTACTACGTCCTGACAGTTTTTTTTTTTTTTTTTTTCAGCAAAGCGTATTCTTTTTCAGATACATCCAGTTTTCCTTAAATTGCTAATTCACCTGTGGATTGTATTTTGGCTAGAAACTATATCGTGGAGTCTAAGATAAAAGGGAACTAAAAAACTCACTGTACTGCCTTGATAGACTCGCCATTTCGCACACACTTATTTATTATAGGCAAACATACAGTGTTTACCGTCCAATGCTCCATGGCTGATAAAATGGCATAAATTAAATCAATGAATGACACCCCTCCCCCCTCTCGACAATAATTGTGGAGCGTTTACGATCTATTTGAAAAAAGTTCGGTTCCTGTCGATCACCATGTATTAGAGCACATATTGGCATAAACAAACGTAAAGACGTCTCACAGTAAAGTTAAATCTTAAATAGGTTTTTTAGTTTATTGCATCAATGATTTACTAACTATTGTCCAATTTTTTTTTTTTTGACAACCGAGGTAGCATCTTGGGCTGATATGCTAGACCAAACATCTGCAACTGCACTGTCACTGCTCTCATCAGTTGCTTTGAATCAAAACACAGACAGCTAAAGCTGGAGGCAGCTAAAGCAATAAAGTTTTTTGTTGTTTTATTTTAGAAAAGCTATGGTTGATACCATACAATCCAAATATGAGAAGAATAACTTCCACCAAAGTATTTTTATTTGTTAATTGAATATTCGTTTAAGATATTCATTCGGGAAATTCAAAGGCACTTTAACCACTTCTTCTCAATTTCTGTATTGTAAAGACGAACTAGATAAACCGAAGATTTGTTTGTAAGAGGTCGTAGGAGGATCAAAATCTTTGGAATCCTAGAGGAATTACAAAATAAATGCCAGTAACTAATAACAATAAACGGTTATTGTTGTGATAATAATAGGTTTAAAAGTTGTAAGCTGTGAAATTAATGATTAGCTTAAAAAATTGATAAAAAACTTACTGGCCTAGCTCTTAGCCTTTATTGGCTTAAAAATCTGTAATGAAGCTGAAATAGATTACCGAGGTTTACCTGTATTTTTTTTAAATTTCTTAGTTTTATTTAGGTATTATTTACAATATGTGATACATAACATTCCTCAATAAATGTTTAAATCAGACATTTTATAAGGTTTTGCTTTTTTATAGGCCTATTATCCTGTCTTTTTTTACCCCACACTCCCATTGACTTTTGGATATTGAAGTAAACAACCCAACCTATATTATTGGTTATATATTATATACAACCCATATAATATACACCTCCAATACGTAACTAGTCTTAGCAAATTTCCCATATAGGGAATAAAGCAATGTGACATAACAGCTAAGGATTTAGCTATTATTACCCTAGGCATCATGGTAAGAATTAGCTGCAGGACCGATTAACTTTTTCTTTTTTTCTCCCCAGAAGACAAAAAACACCATCCGTTCAAATTCATATAATTATCATGTATCTATATAAATAAAATTAAATTTTTGTCTGTATATTTCTCAGAATTATATATTTTTGGTTATTTTATTTTCACGTTTTATACATTAAAGAAGCCGAAACAAGTCTTATCTCAATTTCTGTCCGTCTGTCACGGCCCAGAAGGCATTTTTCGTAGCCTTCTCCTGAAAAACGAGTGCCTATCAAGATTCAAATCATAGCAATGTATTCACGGGATTGGCGAGAGTGTCTTTAGTCATTAAAATATGGCTCACTACTTTCTATTTTAATACAAACACTTGCTGAAAATTTGCCACAACAATTCAATGGGTCACAGTCTCAGTCACTCTAACCCCTAATATCCGGCCTCGGAATTTCTGGTCCTTGGTTTGGGTCACCGGAAGACTGCCCCCCGGACAACTACCCCCCACCCCAAACAGGTTCCTACATCATGTTGATGTCAGAGATCGGGCAGGGGGGGGGGAAGTTTTCCAGTCACAGACACTCAAGTTTTGTTGTCAAACTGTTCTAAACTAACCTAACCTAACCAACCAAACTTGCTGTAACATTTTTAAATTCTGTTTAATATTCCCCACATGCCTTTTCTGGTATCCAACGGATCCAACGGTCAGGGGCTCGGTCCCACATAGGCCAAATATAAGGGGTTTTACTGTACCTGGAACTCTTGATGGTATTATTTCATGGGGATATTCTGGCAAAGTCAAATTTATTTATTTATCTTTTATATACATAAAGAGTGTAACAAAATAAAGTTAAATAATAAGAATCTTATGGTAAATTACATCACAATTCTCTTAAAGCTATTTAAAAATTAATTGAAATAATCTGTTTATCAACTTAATAGCATTAACTTGATGAAACCCAAAACAATACTTAAGAATTTTTACTTGCCATATTTAATTACATGCTATGAAGGATATACATATCTCTGAGCATCTAAAAGAATCAACTAGAGGCAAACAATTCTTATTTTGAATTTTGAATAACAAACTTTTTTAACAAATATTTTTTTACCAGATGCAAAGGTCATCATCAGACCCAATAGGCGAATGATTCTGAATTGGAGTGTCCAATCGAAATAGATCACCACTTACCATCTTTTATATGTATTTAATCTCTTGTGAGTAAACAGTATAAGTGTAAATATATTATTATTATTATAAGAGTTATTTGACATATTTTTTGTGCTTTCACATACTAAACTGTGTGCAATTTGGACATCTCCTCAACGGAACTACAAATGAAACCAAATGGTATGGCCATACTCTACCAGACCTTCGACTCAGAACTTCATGTGTAGTAATATTAGCTTAATCGTGTCTAAATTAAAACAAAAAAAAAGTCCATAATTCTTTTGTAAACCAAATTAAATTCATTATCCATCATATAACGTTCACTTTATTGAAAAAGCCTTCTTTAGGCATACACAACAAATGTAACATTCTAATGCCAGTAATAAAACTATTATTTTGATTAAATTGGGCAAATTAAAGTGATAAGAGTGATGATAAAAATAAAATACACTTTTCTCAAGTAGTCTGAGTCAAGTGAACATCAAGTTTTAAGAACAGTAAATTAACCTAACCTTTTTACACAACTCAAGCTTAACCATGTTCCCTTTATTGCGACTCTGGGATAAGTTAGACTTTAAATCAATTAATCGATAAACAGTGCTTTGCCCATTAAATAGGATTTTAAGAATTAGCTATTCACATTTAGTTATCGTACTATACTTTTAAATGTTCGAGTTGTAAGTAGGCTGTTATTACTTCATAATCAAGAGGCCTATGTTAACATCAAAATAATTAGTTGAAGAAATATTGTTTTATTAAATTGAGCAGTTATTATTATATTCCTGTTCATTAAGCGAAGGCAACACACCACAAGAAACACACTGATACTTAGATGGTGGTGATAGCACCGCTGCAAAACGTCTGCTACTTTCTGGACGGCCCTCGTAGTACAAATAATAAAGATCGTGTAACCGTAGAAAGTTTAAAACAATTCTCTATTTGTCATAAAAGTAATGAAACTGATCACCAAATTTATCTCTAAACTTCCGTCGATCCATTTTATCCATTGCCACTGCTACTTTCTTCATAACAGACCTGAAAATATAATTTTTATTTCCATAATAATGTACCAAAAAAAGTAATTCTAAATCAACAAAACCAACACCAAACTATCAAAATACTCATAGCTGTTGTTCACACAAGTACGGGTCTGAGTCTGCATCAGGACATTACATTGATTTGTAAATATTTAAAAAAAAAAGAATAGAAAAACTCCAAATGTGCTGCAGAGCTTTGAAATACCTGTAATTTTAAAATAATTCGGTGGCTCAACAAACATATCTAATACATATTTTGAAAGAACTTTTGGGATTATAACTGTCATCTTCAGTAAAGTAATGAAACCATAATTCAGGGCTATAGAGAAAAGCATAGCCACACTTACATGCCCCTTACATTCAAAGTCATTGCCTGATCCCACTTTTCTAGTCCAGTTGTGATGTTTCTAGGGTAGGCTACACCTTTTTGTGACTATCATTACGGTACTAATTTAACTTTAAAAGTAGGGATGTGTTCCAGTAATTTAAAAACTATATATACAGGATACTTAGAAAATACTTCAATTCAAATTTAACCTAGTAATAGTGATGTTGTGGCTAAGCAGTTAAGCAACCAGTGCTCTGTATGCCCAGGGTTACGATCATAAAAAAGTAAATAACAAAACAAGTTATTGAAATTGTTAAACTATTAAGACTTAATAGTTAAACTTAATAGTTTAACAATTTCAATAACTTGTAATCCCATAACTTTAACCCCCCCCCCTTCCCCTCTCCACACTTGGTTCACCACCTAGGAGTCAGGACTTTTGGTATGTTAACACGCTAAGCCCCCTGAACAAGTTTCTGAAGGAATCCCTTAGTTACCTGCTCACACGCTCTACACCTAATTTCTTGACTGGACTAATAGGAAACACACTTTAACACAAATGCAAATAGTGAACAACAACATGCAAACAAAGAAAATTAATGAAATAACAATACAACAATCAGCTGTTAAATTATCAACACATGTTTTTATGATTAGATATGATGTATACCAACAAACCCAATACTGCCATAAATCTTCAAAAAAATCAAACTTTCATAATTATTTGCAAATTTACATGGATGAAGCTTTCCATTGACATATTATTCAATAAAATCTATCAATTAGAACTGTAAATTTAATTCTGCAAAGTTAATTTACAAAAATATCTCTAATTCAGTATTTTCTAACAACTATAAATTTGGAGGTTGCTTAGCCCTCCAAATCAATACATCTTTCTATTTTATAATCACACCATATTTATTTTATTTATTTATTTATTTTATAGCACATCAGCAAATAACTTTTAAATGGCGAGGAAATCCACCAACGTGGAAAGTGATATTCAGAAAGAGAATAATACTTCATACAAATTAATACTATATTGTATTTCTTGAAAATACTCAATAAAGGTAGCTTAAAGTTGGCTACAAATAGAAGCTTAAAAATAGAAACTTGAATAAAGCAGTTTTTTATGTATCCTTTTTTTATTTTTTCACTACAAATGTTTAATAAAATCAAATTTTCATAATTATTTGCAAATCTACACGAATTAGGGTTCTCAACAACACATTAATTGACAAAATCGATCCAGTAAACTGTGGATTTAGTTAAACAATGTTTAAAAAAAACTCAGTATTTTCTTCCCACTATAAAGTCGGATATTGCTTAGCTATCTTACAAATAACTTCAAAGTAGATTGGAAAACAAAGTAAAGTGGACGGTGCGATATTCTCAAAGAGAATATAATCTCCTACAAATTAGTACTATGCATTTATTTAAAAATACAAAAAAGGCAGTCATAATATGTGCCTCCAAATAAAACTTGTGAAAAACACAGTATTCAATGTATTTTTTATGGAAAACATGTTTTATTTTTAATTTTCATCATAAATAATAACAAAAATAAACTTTAATAATTATTTGCAAATCTACATGAATTAAACCTTCCAACGACCCTGTTCAATCTCCTAACCAACTGTATTTAAAGTAACACATGATTGTGAGACTGCACTTTAGTTTACGTCCTACACTCATTCAAATGAATATATCGATTATTTCATTCGATATATCAAGTTTGGTTAGTTAGGTTAACCTAACCTAACTAACCGAATGAAATAATCGATATATCAAATATTTTTTATTCGAAAGAGTGTAGGACGTAAACTAAAGTGCAGCCGATTGTGATAATAATCATTTAGAATGTTTTTTTGGTCAACAAAAACAAAAACCGTAGAAAAATGTATGTTTACAGTTTTTACAAGCAAGTAATGTTATTCTTTTCAAGTTAAATACAGTTTTTATGTGTTTCAATGCATTTTCATACAAAACAACGTTGGACACACCGGCATTGTACATTTTGGTCCTTCACCCCACAATAAAACCACTACCTTAAGGTAAATTAAAAGTACTTACAAACTTTTCAATATTTATTCAGTTGTACATTCATTACAATCGATATGTTTACAAATGATACCTTGGATTGTAATCAATCCAAGACCCAGAAAATTGATTTCTCGCTCTCTATTAAACAATCAGAACACTCAGTAAAAATTCTTGGCTTCCACCTCGATAGTAAATTAAACTGGAAAACTCACGTCACAAATTTAAGCAAAATACTATCGAGAGTTTCATGTTTATTCTGGAAACTCAAGCCTTTTGTCGATATTGAATATCTCAAACTAGCCTATTTTGGGCTGTTTCAATCCCATATTCAATATGGAATACAACTTTGGGGCCATTCCTCCCTTGTCCATGAGCTTCTACTAATACAAAAAGAGGTCATTCGCACAATTTTAGGGGCTGACCCTGCGGAGCTCTGCAAACCACTTTTTATCAAACTAAACATTTGCACAATCATTAACTTATACATCTACAATGTACTTATATACACTAGAGCTAATCTCAATGAGTTTTCCACCAGGCAGAATTACCATTCCCACCATACACGAAGTAAAGAACAACTGGATATACCACATCACAGGCTAGCCATCACAGGTAATTCTTTCAAACTCAACTGTGTGAAATTTTATAATAAGCTGCCTGAGCCTCTTCAGGCAGACAGCCTTTCTCTTTCTCTTTTCAAATCCAAAATTCATAACTGGCTTGTAGCAAATCCGTTCTATTCAGTCAAGGACTTTTTGAAACATAAAATTACAAAGGAATCATTCACACTGTAAGTTAGGAATTCTCAATCTTTGTTAGCTATAGATATAACATACTTGTTGATGTTGATATTTTGTTTAATGTAATTTGACAATGCCTATTCCTGTATGCAACCTTGTCAACGGCAATAAACTTTCTTATTCTTATTAAAGTTTTATTGAACATTAACAAACCATGTAAAAGCAAGATCAGTTACAACAATTAGTGAAAGCTAGAGTTAATATTAAGGCTAAACTTACAAGATGTAAAAACTTTTTTGATTAAGTTTTAGGAAGTCAGCATGTAAAGGAATTACAACTTAAGACTACAAAAGGTAGAAGGAAGTTGGGTAGAATTTGAAATGTGCAATCTAAGATTGAAGACATTGATTCAGATTCAGAATCAAATCATGAAGCTGAAAAGGATGAGTTTGAGCAGCAATATATTGAGCTTTGAGCAGAAATAGCTAATTTTATTGAACAACAGACGTATCCACTACCACAAAATAACGAAGTTGGTGTTAATCACAATTCTAATTCAAATAACAGTACAAAGTCTTCAGACTCGTCCATTCTAGTTCGACTACCAACCATAAATCTACCAAGCTTTACTGGGAAATTTGATGAATGGATGCCCTTCTTTGATTCCTTTTCAGCATTAATTGACAAAAATGAAAGTTTAAACGATGTCCAAAAGTTGCATTACTTAAAAGCTGTACTCACAGGTGATGCAGCTAATGTAATAAAGAACTTAGAGCTATTAGCTTCTAACTACAACGTAGCATTAAGCTTGCTTAAGGATCAGTTCCAAAACATCAGGCTTATTGTACAGAAACATGTAAGATCACTCTTTGAGATTTCTCTCGTACAAAGGGACAACCCAAAAAGCATAAGGCACCTACTAAATAGCACAATTGACTATACAGAGAATAGACTTCCCATGTAATGTAAAAATGTGAAGCCAAAAAAAGTGGTGCGATCTGTTGAGATGGTCACCAACTAGTGACAATATTCTGTATTAAGTGATAAATCAATCAGCTGTTTGCTATGATACTGCATTGGTTTTAATTAATATTCAACCCAATACCAGGGACATATTTCCGAATGGCAAAATTTTGAAGGATTGACATAGAGACCTCTACTTTGCGCCATTCTTTTTCTTTTTTTATGCCCTTCCATTTGATATGTCAAAAGGGGTACCTTGCAGTTTATAAATCAGTTTCAGTTAAAGGAAGGAGAAGAAAGGGGGTGAATAATTGACAAGGAGCAGCATGGTTTCAGAAAAGGAAAAGGTCAATCTGCTTTGAATGCAGCAGTTGTGTAAAAACTTCAATTGATTAGGGGAAAAGTTTGTAAGAATAGGAGTAACTCTTAGTTGCTCACACTATCTCCGCGTTCCGCCATCTCCGAACCCAAATCTGTCCCGCCATCTCCGAATTCTTGAGTGGCCCTTATAATCCCTTATAATCCTTATAACTGCCTGCGTTGTTAGCTGTCATTGCATCCACGGCTGCAAAGCCCCGTGGATGGAAGATTTAATGAAAATTTAACCCGTGGGTTAGGTTAGGTCAGGTTAGGTTAGGTTAGATTAGGTTAGGTTAAGTTAAGTTAGGTTAGGTTAGGTTTGGACGGAGAGACTTAACGCAGAAAGTAACCGAGGATTATAGGGGTCGCTCTGAAATTCGGAGGTAGCGGTACACGGAGGTGGCGGGACGCGGAGATAGCGGGAGGTAACCACTCACACAAGGATAGGGGAATAGGAGGGTAATAATTAGTCACAAGTGGCATTTCCTTTATCTTTTTAAAGAAAGAAGGTTTTTAAAGAAAGAGCCGGGCTATGGTTTGGTAAAGTTTATTTCGATTGTATAA